TCTGAGCTTAAATCTTGCTGTTAAATGGATACAAAATATAGTCATAAGAATGGTACATTTAAATTCTTATTTGCACGGATTCACTTTCTTCTCTCTCTCTTCTACGTGATACACTACTTACTGAAAAACTGAAGATGGAAATTCATTCTCTATTACATGTGATTAGACATACTGCAGATATTCATTTTACTTACGCTCAAGGCCACAATGATATTCTCGGTAATGAGAGGGCTGACCATTTGGCTAAGCAGGCGACTTATTGTGATTTTGATTTAATGCTGATTGCACTGAAGTCTTATTGGAAGTATGTGGCTTGGAAGAAAACTATAGTTGATTGGAATGCTGAATATCTTGCTCCTTCGAAGCAGAGCTGTGGAGTCGGAGTCATGGAGTAGGAATCGGAGTCGGGTAGATTTTTGGGTAAAAGAAGTCGGAGTTGGAGTCGCTAAAAAACACTTCGACTCTGACTCCAGTTTTTGTTGAACAGTTTGAATTTGAAATGAAGTGAATTGAAAAAAAATTAATGACAAACTGAGTTAATATTTTTATTTATGGACTATATACATTAAATAGTTATTTTCTTTATGCATATAGTAATAATATAGGAGAAGGATGGACATGATATTGCCATTTTGATTAAACTGATTCATTTAGTTACTAATCTCATCGGTGAATTGAGGTAAGCAGCGAGAACTCCCAAAATTGGTGCTATTCTTAGGAAGCGAGCAGAAAAAGGAGAAACGCAATGGAGAACTACATATCTGATGATATAGTGGTTGTTAGGATTAAGAACTTCTTCAGAAGATGTAAATAACCCTAATATTTCACTAACGGAAAGACAGTGGAATGATCTTGTAGAACTGAAAATCCTTCTTTCAACAGCGTATATAGCCACCAAAAAGCTACAATCTGAAGGATTAGCAAAAGGCAGGACTGGAAGAATGCAATGTTTGTTCTTTCTGATATGGAGGGTTTATTGCAGAAGGAATCATTTCTTCAATGAAGAAAGAGAACTATTTGCTAGACAATATGACAGGCGGGTTCAATATGAGATTAAACACGATTTTGTGATGACAAAAATTAAAGGCAAGAAGCCATTTGACTTTCTAAGATAAAATTATTTTACAGAACAACTGGAGATTCAAATTAGACGTCAACTGCAGATTGCAACTTTGTCTCTTCCCCTTCACTGAGAATAATTTCAAAATATGGGACATATTGAAAGGCTAAGGCAAGCAAATGAAATAAATACAAGAGCCTAGATATAAAATGAAAAATACAACGAGATTATACACCTTAAGAAATAGAAATATGATTGCTCTTAGAACTGACAAATCTATCTGAAAAGTTAAGGAGTGCCCTATATACAGCTCTTCTTCCTACTCAAGTCGTGTAGAAAGACTCTCCATTCTGAGGTGTCAATCGATTATGGTCCTCTAAAAGGAGATCTTGCGAAGTTTACTTTTCTTAGAATTATATGCCAGTTTTTCCATTCCATAATAAATGCTAATTAATATAAAAAAATTGCTATGCATCAATTTTTTTGTAATTACTTCTTTTATTATTAAAAAAATAAGATGTACGCATGTGTATATGTTTACATATATATGAAGGAGTCGGAGTCATTAAAATTCCCGGAGTCGGTCATTTTCCCTACCGAGTCCACAGCTCTGCTTCGAAGGCCCAATGAGCAAAGAGATTTTTTCCCTAATGTTTTTCAATGACTTAAATGTAAGCATTTTCAACCGAATTATAAACTTGCTCAGATTTTGAAAAGTCATGGAAATTTTGGAATTTACTTATTCTGTTTCAATATTATTACTAAAGGGCTCTTTGCTTGCAATGATGCTGTGGAAGATGTGGAATATATTTTATTGCATTGTAGGTTACATGCAAGTGCCAAAAATGCATTTGTGAGTTTAGGGCAGCTTTCTTTTAGCTGGCCTCCTGTTTTCTATGATCTTATTAGGAGCTCTGAAGCTTTGCAGTCTTGCACAACTTTATTTTTTGTTTGAATTTTTAGTATTATTATTTATATGATTGGATTTTTATATTTTATGTGTCATTATATTGTGTATTGTCCATGTATGATAACATTATGTAGTGATGTACTGTATGTTAATGTATCATTTTTGCTTTGTATCAGTATTATTTTTAAGTATCAATTTTATTTTTATTATTGTTGTATTAAGTTGGTTTATTTCCTTTCATAGAAGTATTAACACAGTTTAATTATTCATGGTATATTTTAGTATTTTTATTATAATAATATTTGTCTTTTATATTTTTCTCTGCTCTCGCCAGACCTAGATTTTATGTTTTTATTGTTGAACTGTATCTCCTTGTACTATGAGTTATTTACTTACATCTGTAAGCTTCATGGAATACTTCAAGGAACACAAGGAGTTTTGTACATGTTATCTTAATTTTAAAAAAGAAAATGTTTAAATGTTGCTTAAAAAAGGTAAAAAAATATTGAGGCAAAGCAGTATGTTGTCTGAAGTTATGTGGCAACCCACGACAATAGCAAATCACATGGCACAATTTGACATGGCACCTAGATATGCATGCATCATGTCTGTTTTGGCTAGTGCAATGCCAAAGTTGTACAATATCAAGTTTATGCAGTTCTTCTTCTTCTTCTTCTTTTTTTTTTTTTTAAAAGCAAAGATAAATTACTGTGTAAACAGGGTGAACAATAGTGCAAAAACAGACACACATGTATGTGTGCAGCATATGTCTGTTTGGCTAGTGTGGAGTGCTGAAGTTCTATGACACCAAGCTTGTGCAAACCTCTGACTTTACAGCTTTGTACATGGGAAGAACAAAAGTATACAAAAGAAGGACTTCTGGAAAAAGATATTTTTTATAACTGATGTTTCTCAACCTTTTTAATTTTACTGTTTGACTGCTCTTGCATGGAATTCTTAGGATAATGCCGTTTTGAAAATGGCTGTTGCTTTTCATGCATTAGCTTAGCAAAATATTAGTCAGCAGTGCATTCACGAGTGCAGTACCGATCCTAGACCACCCGTTGTCCACATGTAAATTCAAATTGGCTACCATTTATTACAGAAAAATACTATGTTTGATAATCATTTCGTCACCCTTAAATTTGACCACCCACAGGATCATCTTGCCCCCCAGTAGAATCGGGCCTGTACAAGTGCTCTCCAATGCTGCCAACAAGATCATGATATTTGAGCAAGATGACGGATAATCACTGAAAAAACTTTAAATCAGAATAATTATTTAAACTGTAATAAAGTAACAAATATTTATATGCTATTTATACATACTACAATATATATAAATTATAAAATGCAATTATACCTAGCTAAATGATAGATCTTATAAGTGTACTGGCCCTTGTTAAACCTTCCCCCTAAAAGTGGAACATTTTCAAATGGTTCATTTTTGAGCACCTCTATACCTTCTCCACCACCAGTTTCATTTTTGCTGGCTTCTGCAACTGAGTACAACTGGCCGACTTGATACTAATAAGGGATAAAAAAATTAGCATAATAAACTCTGAAATCAAAAACATTAAATATTTTTGAAATTATAAATTATACAATTGATAATGAGTATAATTCATACTTCTTAATTCAATCAGTTACTTGCGCATAAGAGTTCCATGACACGAAAAGATACAAAATAAAGTAAGGAGGAGAGTGAAATCATGACTCAGGCAACAGTACATAAATTTAATGCAGCGATTACCAATAACGTGCACAAGTTAATCACCAAAGATACTTCAGCTAGCCTTTATGGAGATATATAATGGTTAATAGTATACTTAAAACAAATATTTAATTACCATTTTGTGGAGGGAAAAAAAAGAAAAATTCTTAAGAAATTTTTAGCAACAATTTTTATGAGGCAAAAATATTTTTTATGAGAAATAACTGAAAATGACACCTTTTATTTATCTGTATATTTTAGATGCTGTGTGAAATTAGCATAACAGGAAATTATAATTTACAATCAAAACAGATATTTTTAAACAATCTTTTCTAGATATTTTACATTGCAAACAAGTTTTTACAATATACTGTAATAAAAATCCAAACTTATAATGATATGCCTGATACATTGATTACAATAATTGATTACATTCAATAACTATATAATTTTACATCAACCTAAAGCATAAAATATTGAGTATTAGATCACAGAAATGTAATATTAATTTTAGTCTTTCTTAAACTCTAATATAATAATGATTTAATATGATGAATGTTCTTAAGATATATGTTAAACAGAAAGGAAAGAGATTAATTCACAAAAAATTTTAACAATATTTAAACTGAACTTCAAAAAAAATTTTTTTTTTTAATTGTTATACATATAAAGTAAAAATAAAAAGTAACTTACTTCTTCAACAGTGATTGGTAAAATAACACGGCTGAAACAAAAAGCACATATGAAGTAACAGAACAAATCTAAAAATGTTTTTAAAGTAAAACATAACATACTAATATTATTTCTTTAAATAATTAGCAAGTCATATACCAACAATATTTTATAACATTAGCTAAAAGTAACAGACACCCAAACATTCATGAAATTTTTACTTATTCCCATGCTTCTGAGTATTTTCTTAAGAGTTTATCAACTGACTGAAATCAGGAAATCCCGCAGTGTTACATTTCGAGATTACAACAAATTTCAGAGTGCAAATCTGGTTGATTTTTTCAATTTGTCACATAATACTATAAAAATATATCTGTTTCCAGTACACACAAATCAAATAATGAATGTCATGCATATGAAAGAAATGAGATTACCTTGAAAATTAAAAAAATCTCAATCCATTTCACTCCATTTTTAGTTTTATACTCAGGTTAAATTTTCAGCTGTTAAACACCCTTCTAAATTCCAGACCACTAGTTTTTTTTTTTTTTGTTGTTGTTTTTATTATTATTATTTTATTTTATTTTTTTAGAATTCCTCCTCCCCTAAGTCTAAGACTGGAAAATATAACATTCGAGAAAAAACAGGTATGCCAGAAAAGTGACTTTTCTCTTGACTAACCGAGATTTCTCTATGTAACTTTCCAGCACCACCTTTCTGTAATCACACCATGGTCAACGACAATATATGGTCAATGATTATATATGGTTAATGATTATGGGTAATCCCGCATGGTCAATGATTGACGTTACACTGGCATTCATCATGACTCCAATTTCAACCTTTAAGTGGTTGGGGGAGGGCAGGGGTTAGCATTTTTCTATCTGACCTAAACAATAAGCAAAGTTCCAAGACATATTTATTTAAAGTACAACGTCACTCATTGGCGTTCTTCTTTTGGCATAGAAATGGACAAGGGAGAAAGAATCAGATTTCAAAGAGTCCAAATTCAGTTAACATAGTAAACTGAGGTCATTTTTTAATACGAAACAATTTATTAACTTTTCATGTTTATTATTATTAATCTTGTTAAAATTACTATTTTCATAAATAATAATGTTTCCATTTTATTCTTTTCCAAAAACAGTGCATCTGTCAATCAGCCAATGGATATTGGAAAATATACTGAAATGCACTAAAATGCAGATATAAAGTACCGTTTTAAAAACTGATGCTGAAATAAGCCTATTCAAAAATTTTAGAAATATTCTGTTATAAATTCTGATGCATGAGGCATTAGAAGTTCCTGAAAAGTCATGTCTGCAGGTATTTTTAAAACTGTTAGGCATGCCAACAACCAAATTTCATGATAATCAGAGCCATGAATCTAAAAGTTTTTAGGCATTACAAAAAAAGGCAAAATTGTTTTATTAATGGAATATCAAAAGAAATGCTGAATGAAGATGATACAACTGAAGTCCTACATATTGATAAAAATGCATCATTCAATTAATAAATCGGCAAAATGTTGGCAGTATGGTTCTAAATCCAGAAAATATCATCATTTCAGTTTTTAGTTGCATTTTAATTTCACGCAGTGATGAGTTTCACTGCGTGAAACTTTCTTTACACAAACTATCTTTCTTACAAAAATATTAATAAAAAATGTTTTATATAATTTTTACATATTAATCTTACTAGAATTAAGCTCACAATCTAAAATTCAGAAATTTTTTATATCTGGAATCGCTGAATTCCTGATTATTTTAGATCTCAGACTTTCTACTATATTTCAATACCAAAATTAAGCCATCCTCCATAATTCTGCATTCTACAGTAGTTTTCAAAATGAATCATTAAAAATTCTACAAATAATTTAATGGCATTTTCCACTTTTCAAGTATTAAATGCAGCTGGGATAGAAACAATTCTGTTGTGCACCACACAAGTTTTCTACATCAAAAATGCAAGATTATTTGACTGAATATATTTCTGTTTTTAACACCCCCTTACCAAAATCAAAACTGACAGCTTTCTAGAACACTAGCAAATCCAAGTCAAGGCTAATAAATTTGGGGGATATTTGCAAAATTTTGAACATTCAAAGAAATATTCTGATATAGAATAATGCATTAAGGCCTGGGGTTGTCTAAAATATTCTGAGATATCTTGTCACTTTAGATTTATTCTAACAGTTGTGGCCACAGCATCCTCACTTGGTAAGAATTTATTTATTTTAATTAACCAGTCATCTTATTATTTTTGAAGTTCTATACTTCCCCGTATATGTCAACATTTACCAGAATACAATCATGTAACAAAGTCATTTATGTTGAAAGTTAAATAATTTTTAATAACATTTATACAGTCAAAAGTCGTTAATCCGGACTCATCGGGACTTCAGCGATTCCGGATTATCGATTTTTCCGAATTATAGATCATCAGTTTAAATCTGGTAAGATGGCATGCAGAAATTATAAAATTAAAAAATGAAATGTATTTATGAAATAAGAACAGTTATGACTAAAGGGTATCAAAATTACAAAAAAAAAAAAAAAAGCTTAATATTACTGTAAACTTTATAAACATTCTTCAACGTAAGTTGTTAGTTGCTTCGTTTTATGATAATATTCTCTTTAATTCTATAAACAGACCTATTTCAGTTATTTTACATTATGGTAACCTTGCGTTTTTGGCGAAAATTGGCGACAACTCTCCTACAGCAACCTCTATTTCTTCCCGCCGCCATTTTGTCTTCCGAAGTAAAGATATGTTTCTTTTTTTTTATCTACGAACACTTTTCCAACAATTACTACCGAATACCTATGCTAGAAATTTTATCTAACAAAATGCTTAATATGACAAATATTCACTGCACAATGGGAAAAAGTGCACAATACATACTCCTTACGCGTTTTCAAAAATACACATACACAAAACCATGTACACGCGATATTTTTACTTAAAAACACCAGACTGCACAAAAATGGCATTGCGCAACACTTTACTATATCATGTACATGCTTTTTTCAGAATTAGAAAATTCACGAAATAATGACAAATTCTCAGTCTTTAAACCGGTAAAAAGAAATATATGAATTACGATCGCGAAAAGTATTACCCTTCAAATATGAACATTCCACAATAAAATAAATAAAATATCCAAAACTTTTACTCTAAATCATCTATAATTATACACGTCACCAACGATTCATACTGCAAGCATTACAATACTTAGTATCAAATATTTAAATTATTTCATGCACTTTACTTCACTTAAACGTATACAAATTCCTATAAACATAAAATTCACAAAATAACTATCTTTAATAAAATATAATTAAATTCAAAAACACTACTTAAATATAAAAGCACATACATTAAATTAATCATACATAAATACCCATTCGAATTCACTTAGTTACGGCATGATCCAAAATTCACAACACTGTTTCACACAACACAGAATAAAGCCAAATACAAAATTCAGATTTTTCCCGATTTTCCCCCGTTCCGATTAAAACCGTAATTCGCCATTAATATCACATGACATATCCCATGATCTCTCATTTCCCTCACACAAAATATGCTTCGGAACTGAGTACTGCTAATTATTAGTCCAACCTTTATCGCCTCCAAAATGTCGCCAAACTACCAGTTACCATATTGTAAAGATCAACCATAATTTCTTGTTCAGTACAAAGTTCAGCTGTTCAAGTCCTAATGGTGTCGAGAATACCGATTATTTGTGAACGAATTTTTCGTTTTCATAACCTCTGGTCACTTTTCGCTTTGAACGAATTATAATGATAAGGAATTTGATTTAAATCATATCAAAGAGGGAGTACATCGAGATGAAATACTACATTTGTACGGAATTATAAGATAAATAAAATATAAACATCTGCCCTGAAGATAAGGATAGTGCTGACAGATCAACTTCCAGTTCATTGCGCGCCGCGACATCCCCCCCACACGCAGAGCAGCGTGAAATTGATAAACAGATTTTGGAATGGTTAGATAAACAAAGGATATGCCTTTATCCTTTTTTTGCAGCAATTCCACTTTTTGTTTAATGGTCTTCGAAACATACTTTCGCTTTGTAAATCCTCTACATATTAGTAAATATATATATTAGAAATTCTATTTGATATAATCAAAAGTTCAAGCTTACTTTTATAAAATTGCTCTAACAGTCTGCAAAAAATAATAAGCCGGATCCAATTCGAAGATTAAAGAACAACGCAATCTGCAACATTAACTGAATTAGATAATTTTTGCTTAGCTTATACCATCCGTTATACATTAAACGCGCACTCGTAAACGTATTTTGCGCATGTGCACACGCATATTCGCAGCCGTAAAGGTCTTACGCGCAAGCCTCAACGCGACGCATGCGCAGAAAGTTTGTAGCTTTGAGGTCCGGATTATGGGTGTCCAAATTAATGACTTTTGACTGTATAAGAGTCAATTTTCAAAGGTTAGATATCAGTGATTGGCAGGCTAGGCTGTTTGTTTACTCTGTCTTATACAGAGGATGTTTTTAGAATATTTACACATTTTTAGAATTTAATTATATATAAGATATAAAAAATATTTTTGGTACTTTTTCCGTTTTGCCGGTGCAGGCGATAAAGTGGCCAATAATGGTATAACTGATGCCAAATGGAATATCTTCACTGGTAACCTTTTACGCCTCATTTTCAAAACAAGTTGCAGTAATTTCTTATCAGATTGATTGTTTCTTTCAAAATTGCCATACAATTACATAGAATTTTTACCAGATAGTTTAATTTTATTCCATTCCCAATAATTTTCTAAGGCAATTTGCAGTAATTAAGTCAAATAGAATGCAATGACATTGCTCACCCGAAGGCAAAAATATAGAAAAGGCAAAGTCAAGGGTTAACCTTCCAGCACGCACACTTGGCAATTTTAGATGAGAACGCATGCGTTGTATTTTTTACAACATCCGTTATTTTACCGTTTTGGGCACGAAAAATGACAGAAATGAGTGAATATTGATAATAAATTTGTTAAGAAATAAAATATTAATCTTATTATTGCAAAATACAAATGATATCGCATTCAAATATAAGTAAAAGTTCTTATGTTAGTGAGATGGAAATGCAATGCAAAACTGAATTTGCCGCAAATTTTGCGCATGTGCGCGTGCTGGAAAGTTAAATTCATCAATTCTAATGAGAATACACTAGCAAAGTAAACCACTGGGTTTTACATAATTTCTGAGTAAGCTATTCGTACGAATATAAGATATCAGTGAATTAATAATATTGAATTAATTCGTGCATTTAAACTTGCTTTCCAAATTAAGATTTAACTTGAAATTAATGTAGATAATTAGATTTTTTGTAGCGTAGTTTACGTGAGATGTGATCACTTGGGGTCACATGATATGAACCAGCGAATCAGGTTGTTGAACCATGAAAGCATAGTAAATTCTTAAATTAATGTCTTTTTACAAATTTATTATCTTTATTTATTGGTTTTTATAAAATTCTAAATGATATTAAAATGTTTATGCCTTCAAAATATAAAATTTTTTATGTCTATAATGTATGTTGTCACCAATAAAGTCTGCTTGGCGAGATTTGCGACGGCGAAACAGAAAAGTACCATATTTTTTTTTTTATGTGCGATCTGAGAATCTTTTTTTCTGGACTATTAAATCTGCATCATGATTTTCATATTCGAAGGGCTTTTCATAAAAATTTTTTAGGATAATGATTTCCATTCATCTTCCACTATTTTCTGGAGTCATCCATCATGGTAGATTTTTTAGCTTAAAAAGAGCTCTTTTCAAAAGAATAAAGGCACAATGGTCCACAGGTGAAATGTCATGAGATTTTGCAGGAATACATAAAAAAGGTATATATGCAATACCTCAATTTTTTTCAAAGAATGCAGTGGCACTTTTCGAAGTATAACTTGTAGCACTGTATTAATGAAATTTCACTTTTCGAAAGTTAATGGGACATGGAAAAGAAATTTCTTTTATAAATATAAGATGTAAAACTTTCACTTGATAGTAAGGCGAGTTGATTTTAACATTTTTTCCACTCTTTTTATTCTTAATTTCCTGTCGGAAGAGAATTTTGTTACAATAAACTCCGGTACTTTTCCGTTTTGCCGGCGCAAACGATAAAGTCGCCAATAATGGTTTACTGATGCCAGACGGAATTCTCGTGGTAACCTTTACCCTCATTTCAAAACAAGTTTAAGCCTTTCTTCTCAGATTGTTTCTTTCAATTGGCCAACCTTTAAATTTTAATAATCCCCTAAGACGATTCGCGATAATTAAGTCAATTAGAATGCAATCACACCGCTCACCCCAAAGCAAAAATGTAGAAAAGGCAAAATCCGGAGTTAATGTCATCAATTCCAATGAGAATTGCACTAGCCAAGTAAAGCACTGAGGTTTTACATAATTTCTGAATAAGCTATTCGTACGCATTAAAATAATTCTTGCATTCAAACTTGTACTCAAAATTAAAATTTAACTTGAAATTAATGTAGATAATTACAGACAGAATTAAATTTTTGTAGCATAGTTTATGTGAGATGAGATCACTTTAGGTCACGTGATACGAGCCGGCGAATCGGGATGTTGAACCATGAAATCATAGTAAATTTTTAAATTAATCTCTTTTTACAAATTTATTGTCTTTATTTATTGGCTTTTACAAATTTAAACCATATTAAATGTTTATGCCTTAAAAGAAAAAAAAATTCTTAGAATAACATTTTTAGGGTATATGTATGTTGTCGCACACGTATGTGGCGAGATTTGCGCCGGCGAAACGGAAAAGTACCTAAACTCCTTACCGAACCTTTCTCTGCATTGACAGGACCAGGTCCATACATTTCTTTATGTACTTTTTTGACGATAAATTATCATAATGTACATTTCTTTCAGCAGATAGAGTGAAAGTTTTCAGATGGTTAAACTGTTCTGGTACAGTGAACTCATCGCAATAACAATAATTAACAATAATACATAAAGTGGTTTCGCTCACTCAAAGGCAGGCTCACGATCTTTGCCATGTCCAAGTGAGCAGTTCCCAATATAAAAATTGATGTGACCTGCTTATATTTACCATTATAAGACTGTTTATTCATTATTCCATTACAGATTGAACTTGACACTGATTTTTTAAAACCTGCCAATGTAAAACCCTTCCTCCTATTCTTGGCACTGAAGAACAGTACTCCTATGCTTCGAAGGTAACTTGCACAGCCTTTGTAATAGTACATGGTTCACAAATTCCAACTTTTTATAAGCCAATATAGTTAAACATCTCCGTCATTGAAAACAGGATCAGGAAAAGAATGAATTATAAGGCACATCAGAGTGAGAAAAACAGCCAATCATAAAATTCCTCTTGTTTATCACACAAACTGAACTAAAATGAGTTCTTGTTAGATGAAATTTCTTACTCATGTTATACGTAACAGGTTGGCGAATAACTCTGTTGCCAAACTGATGAAATGTCATAGCTATTTGCTTGCTTTATTGAAATTGTTACAGCAAAATATATTAAATGGAAGGCATGGGGAAAAAAATGCCTTCATGGTGGACTTTCTAAGGGGAAACTGGCTTGTATCTACATTACACATGAAAACACCCATGCAGCCAGCCCATTCGCGGGGATCTGAATCCGAATCGAACTACCAGCATAAGACTAAGATGCTTAAAAGTAATTGACTTTACCACTCAAACACTAGCAAGCCCTAAACTAAGAGATGTGCTATTCATTCATAAACTAGTTCCTTTTATTCAGAAAGCAAACAGCAGATTCACAAAAAAACAGCACTAACTTTTGTAGAGTTCACCCAGTGAGAACTCTAGCTGGAAGCGTGCCAGAAAAATTCAATTCCCTTAGTATCCTTCCATGTTAATAGTGAGTTTTATTTTTACAATATCCAAACATTCTGAAAAAAAAAATTTAATCTACGATTTTATTATTAGTTCTATATAGAAAGGAGGTTTTAGAAACTCTCAAAACTAGAGGTCAAATAAATCAGTCTCATGAAGTTTAACATTTGATCGAATTGATTCTTCTAATCCCACTGTTTGTTCAATTCTTTTTGTTATTTGCTTTATTCTTGCTAACCTTTTCCAATCCCACTGCTCTTTCAATTCTTTCCATGCTTCATTCCTTACTTGATAACTGATCTTTATTTACTCCAGCGAGTTATAAAAAAAACGAATCAATTGAGTTCAGTATGCAGACAATTCAGAACCGAACCTATAAAAGTGTGCAGTTTTACCCATCAGTATTAGCAGTCAGGTAATTAAAGCATACCATTCTAACATAAGCACTATTAAACCGGTTTCGATTTTATATATATATATATATATATAAAAACAAACAAGGTCTTGCCTAAAAAAAATCATTTGCAAATAATATTTATTTACTAAATAATGCTTTATTTCTGATGGATTGTGCAAATGAATCATTAAATTTATTCCCAATATTTACAAAAGATAAGCACAGAACAGAAAAATGTACGCAGAACAACCACAAATAAATCTGAGTATATTTCTAAATAATTCAGCCTCAAAGAAGCTAAAAAGAGCAGATAAAACAGAACTTTATTTTTTATTATTTTCATAATATAACATATTTTGCACAGAGAGAATTTTTATTAGAGGATTCGCTTTTGCTTTTTACTCTTGCAACTCATATTAACTGATAATTTATAAAATCACCCCTGATTTAGTAATAACACAAAGAGGATGATACACTTATTAAATGTCTTGGTTATTTATAAATAAATTCTTTTTTATCTTTCCCTGTGTGAAGGATGGCATGGGTAAAATTTCACAATATTATTTAAAAGAGTAAACTTGCTTCCAAGAATTACACAATAATGCTCATCTATCGTTACATTATTTTGCGATTTCTGGACAGCAATCGACGAAATTTAATTATACACAAGAAAGAACAGAATAAAAAATTAGCATTAAAATAAATACTATATTTCGGAAAGAGCATTTCATAGTACACAATAAAAAAAAAAAAAAATTATTTGCCTTATTAGTTACAACAGTAAATTTACGACTACAAAAAAAATCCTTTGATAAAGAAGATATAGGAATTAAAATTATTTAAAAAAATTCTTGGAATTTAAAATCTGGAAATGAAATTAAATAAAGTGACACATAAAAGTAAATAAAATTACTGAAAGAGTTTTGATTTTCATGCCATATCTTCTAATAAAATTAAAATTACACATGAGAACATTTATTTTAGATGCAGCTAATACATTTAAACTAAAGAAAATATGCCAACAAAAGCTCATGAACTCAAGGAAATAACTTACAATTCCTTAATAATCATTTTTCGGCTCTAATAAAACCAAGTTTCTCTTCACATGGGGCGGAGAAGTGACGTCAATGTTACTGCAGAGCCAGATTTAAAGAGCAAAGAGTTACATGAAACAACACCTGTAAGGCAAATGCCAATCTTAAAGGAAGTGATAAATACGTCAAATAATATTTGCTCTCTTTGATGCGCTCTATTTCATCTCCATCAAAAGTTCCGGCATTGATAGAAGTTCGAAATTAAAACAAAATAAAAGGCTATTGTGCAGACTTAAGGAATAAAAAATAATTTTTTCCTTTTAAAGTGGAAAGAAGGTAAATTTTTTAATTTAAAGATGATACGTCGAACTTATGTAAAAATAATTTAATGCATTAAACGTAATGAGAAAAGTGGATTTTTATTAATTTACAAGCATTTGAACTGGGTAATATGTAATCAACAGTATTTTTGTAGCTGTAATTAATAGAATAAAAGCATTCATTATAGTCTGTTACTTCAGTCTGTTACTACAAGGTCTTTTTATCATTCAGCTGATTGATAACCATGGTAAACAGATGCAGAAAACAGCCGAATTCCCTAGTCGTTACATTTCAGTGTCACTTGATTTCCTTCGTGAAAATGAATGAAGGCTGGCTTAAACTACAATTAAAAGAGATGAAGAAAATATGGGCCGCGAGGTCTTACTAAGGTGGAGACCTTGATAGTATTTGTTTATAAAGCATAATTTTAAGTT